ATGATGCGTTGCGGAGTGCTGTTGGCGAGTGGCGGGATGCGTTGGATGAGGAGAGTAAGAGGGTGGCGAGGTTGGGGGCGTATTGTAGTGGTGTGGTTGGGTACTTGAGGGCTGCGAGAGTGTAGTATATATAGTATGGTCCCGATGTCTTCAATGCTGCATTATCTATTCTTTAGCTTGCGCTCGCCGTCTTTATCATTCGTCGCTGTATACCGTGACTGGTTCCTACCGGCCGATCATCGAACAGTCCTTCAATACCGAGCGTCCATGTCCTCGAGGTCCGCTGCTTCTTCTCCATCACTCTCACTGGTGCCTCCAACCATAGCCTCCTTGTGCTCTCCCTCCACTTCCTCCTCGTCATCATCATCAGAGCTATCCACGACCTCGTGCAGAGACGCCCGACTCATACCAGCACGCAGCCCATTCATCTCCACCCTCCCCTCACCACCACTCAAATCCGCACCCAACATCCTCGCCTGCTCCGCCGTCAACTCAACAACCTGCGGCGCATACTCCCCCGCCTCATCCTCCTCATCAAACGCCGTAGTGTCCATACGGACTTGCTCCCCGTCCTCCAGCTCCAACACCCCTGACTTCGCGAACGTCCCGCCAAACTGCCAGCCGTGCTCGGTCCGAAGATAGTCCTCCAGATCGTCCAACTCATCAACGACGTCCTGCACGCCGAGACTGCCTTGTAGACTCTCCAAACCCGTGCGAAAGCGAGTCAGTAGTCCCTTCAGCAGCGACCCGCCCTCGTCAGCTAGGTCTATGAGACCCGTATCCGCTACGCGGCAGTGCTGGAGCTGCAACGTCAGGGCTCTGATCGCCTCTACGAAGACCTCCGGTCTAGTCGCGGCCGCGGCGCGAGAAGTAAAGAGCAAAGTGAGGATCCGCTTCCACTGCTCGAAGCACGAGAAACTATTCAAAGTCAGCACGCAGAGAAAGCACAACTGCAGTTCCCCCACAATCTCCATCGAGTCTCCAGTCAAGCACTGCCGTTCTATGACTTCGTTCAGCGCCCAGGAGCGGTCTTGCGCCGCTTCCGTGCGCTCGCGGCCTATGGCGCCGGGTCGCCATGTGCGCTTGAGGTCGATGGGGAGGAAAGCGAGTTCCTTGTCTGACTGCAGCTCGTCAATGTCGGAGCGGTCGAGGCCGGGTATGTCTTCGAGGTCGCGTTTCGCGGAGCTGCCGGAGGAGAGCGTCCAGGTCTTGCCGCCCGTGATGCGAGTAAGGAGGGACTCGGTGATGTGTGAGGTGAGCTTGGTCCAATCCACGAGTTCTTCTTGTTCGTTGTCGCCGTCTGTAGTCTTGGCGGTCGTTTGCCGGTACGGTGTCAGCCCTTCCCGCCAGATGCCGCCCAGGTTCGCTCGCCATTTGAGATGCTCGGCTTCGTCAGTGACTGTCACGAGCGACTCGGAAGAAGACTGCCACCGGGTGATGGTCAGGGGTGGCCCTGGATCGACCGGACCGTGCGGGACGTTGAACCAGATGCCGTGCCGCTCCGAGAAGGCCGTGTTTGCGCCGACGAAGGCAAGGTGCAGTCCGGGCGGTATAGCTTTGACGCCCTTGAAGCGTGGCGTAGTGGTGAAGGCGAGGAGGTCGATGCCGGCGAGTGCTTGCTCGGGCAGATCGAGTATCAGCAGCGCTGAGGAGGCTGTCGCGTCCATATTGAGATACCGTGAGGGGTTTGCAGATCTCGAAATCTTCCGCTTTGGGAAGGCACGCTACTTTGGACCTTTAGTTCTACCTCATGCCGCTCGATTTTCCGCAAGGAGATCAAACCCTGTATTCCCACCGTCCTCGGGTATGTCGAGTCCTATCGGATGCCGCAACTAATAGTGGAGTAGTGTCAGCAGATTGACTGCGTGGCTTCAACAATGTGGTGGATGTTTGTGTCTCTGGTGCACCTCATGCTGGTTGCAACTTTCGTTCCACGTCGCTAGATGAGCTGAATAATGACCGACCCCTTGATGTTGCGGTGTGGTGCTTGTCAAATTACCTAGCGAATACATGTATCAGTCGCATGCACCGATTACGATGCAAAATGTTCACCAAAATTTAGAACAAAAAGAATTTACAGGTTGGTGGACGCTGTGGGAATTGAACCCACGACCTTTCACAGACATCTGCACAACACTGCACGATGCGAAGCGAAAATCATACCCCTAGACCAAGCGCCCATAAAGTCCTCCTACCCTACTATCTATTCATATTGCTGTTGACTAAAACCCGAGCTTGGCCCGCGAAGCTAAGTCGACCCTTCAACAATTATCTTGCCCGGAGACAACATACGGTGGGTGACGTGGGAGTATCATACAACACGGCATTTCTTTGCCCAATAACC